GTTTTGTCACGCAAATAAAGGATAACTATTGCTATAATACTTTGCAGTTTCATGAGATGGCAATGTATAGTTTTCCTAAAACAAGTGTCCGAAAATTGATGGTGTACGATCATTGATAATGTACTCTAGTGTCGCAACTGATTTCATCATTGTATCGTGACTGATTGCCCAAAATGCATGATCCAGTACTGATTTTAGGATTGATTCAGACTAGCATCAATCCTAATCCAGATTTCAACTATTGGCTGTGTACATAACCAAAAGTAATCATGCCTGAATCAGCAATATTGCCCAAAATGAACGAATCAAGTCTGATATCAGCACTGCTACAGTCCTGACAAGTATCATTGCTGATCATGCCTGATGCTCTGGCCTGAACCAGTGCAAGACCTTTTCATGATAGTGTCGCAACTGATTTCATGACCGTATCGTGACTGATTGCCAAATACATGATCCAGTACTGATTTCACGACTGATTCAGGCTAGCATCAATCCTGATTCAGACTCCAAACTTTTGGTTGTGTAGTTTTTAGGCACTGCCCTTAGTGCCCTAAATTCCACCCTAAGGCTAACAATCTATGCTTTGAAATGAATCCAATTATGCTTATTTTATGCTCATAATTTCTGCTTTACTCAAATATCAACCATCAAGTTACACCACCTGCCATATTGAATTGCAATTGCATGTGGCTAGGGGCATAGGGCCAGAAATTTAAATTTTTGACTAATTATAACTTGCCCTATTATATTATGCTCCAAATTATGCCAGCATGATCTGGCTACCCCTAGTATCAGCCATAAACCAGTCAGCAAAGGGACTGGGCTGAGACTATTCCTCCAGCTGGCCAGCTTCATACACTGTTCATTATTCATTAATCAATATATTCATAAACAACAACAGTCTCATAAGCTGGATTAACATTTGTGTTCATAGTCTCGCCTCGCCCTATTGTGTTTAATACCAATCCTTGTACTGACTGTATAGGTCTTGCTGTTTGTTCAACTAGAAATGAATAGAGATAAGTGATATTTAGCATTATGGCTTACTCTGTCCATATGCTGGATTATTTACTGTAATCTCAACAGAGCCACTTTCCTTCCTTTTTCTCACACACCAGATACTAGTAGTGATAATTACAATCAGCAGTATTATTAGAATTAATACTGTACCAACTACAGTACATGCTAACAGTGTAGCAGATACCACTGGAGGTGGATCACTGTCAACAGTATGGTAAGGCCTAGAAACTGCCACTGAAAAAATAATTCTAAATTGTAGTGATTATATAGTTTACCTGTTGAGTATTCAACTTCACTAGATAGCATACCTATACCTTAAGTGAATTAATGCACTTGTTATTCATTGATACTTACCAGTACTATCTACTATGCTGTAACTGCTGCTGTAAACAAAGGAAGGAATAATGATGTATACATGTTTAGGTTGTACACAAGTCCATGGAGTAATGTATCCATTAATAATACCATGAACAGTTACATTATATACTCCTCCACTTGTTGATAATGTTACCAGTGTACTATCATCTGATCCATTTATATTAAAGGATTCATTCCTTCCATTACTAGTATCAGTAAATATCACATGACATCCATCAGCAGTTGATCCTGATACAAACACACACTGTACACTAACTGATCCATTGGTATATGTAGATACTAGCAGATCTTTTACATTATATGTAGCTTAAGGTAAAATAAACAAAATAGAACAATAAACAATATAACTTACAAACCATCACATTATCTTGATCTTCAATACCAAATAAGGAATTCAGTATAATTATTTGAGCAGTATAAGTTTTGCATTGTTTTAATCCAGTCATTGTGTATGATATTAATTCATCAACAATAGTGTGACACATATTCTGTGTTACTCCTTCATCAGGATAAAGGTTGCCATATATGGTAATGTTACAGGATTGTGCTGAACTGTTACTGTTTACCTAATGATGCAAAGTGATTTATAAATTATGCTTTACAGCTATTATAGTCATTACCAAATTTAGTAAATTAATAAAGAACAAATCACTTTTTCTATGATATGTCAGAGTGTAATTCAATATATTGATAGTGTAACCTATGAATAATATTGATAAGTTATTGATCTTTACACTTACTTGGACTGTTGTTAATATATGCTTCTTCTTGTGATACATATTGTCCAATAGATGCAGTAATACCAACAGTAAAATTGGCACACATTATATTCAATCCAGTAGTATTCAACCATACACTAGTACCAGTAGTGTTGATATAACTGATACCATTTACTGATACATTATATGTAGTAGCAGCAGCAATGCCTCCTGAAAATATATCATCAGAATAGAAAGAAGGAGGAGACCATGACAATGACTGATTATCATTAGACCATTGTATGTCTTCAACTGGTGATATTCCTGTAAATAGATGTAATATAATGAGTAATAATATTATACCAAAATTTAATAACAATCTATGTGTACTAACCTCTTATTGTTAGTGTAGCACCAGTGTTAGAGAACACTTGTTTAAAAGGTGGATATGACAATATGTGACATCCAATCCCAATCCCATTATTAACAGGTAACCCAGTGATAGTAAGTACTGATGATAAGTTACCAGGACCTCCAGGATCAGTAAATGTGATGCTTCTTTGTTGAGCAACAGACTCTGTCAGTGAATCACTCCCTACTAGCCAAGTTAGTTCATTGCCAGTTCCTTCACAAGTAAAACTTGCTGTCTCATAAATAGGAACAGTAACAGAAGTAGGACCAACTGTTATAACTAGAAGAACAATAAAGAATAAAGTACATTCATGACACATTACTAGCTCCATCCACTGCTAGGATCAACAAGAACAAGAGAGTGAGAGAAAGTCTATGCTTTATCATCTTTGCTTCTTTGACAAAAATTATTAAAATTACTAGATGAATGTAAAACATTAAAGGGGCAAGCCTAAACAAAGCAATTGTATTCATGTCTATGCAAATAGGAAAATTTTGTCTAAGCATTTCATTACAATCATTAGCTTGTCATCTGATTACTTATAAAATCTCTGCAGCAATTGGATATAGCAAGCATTAAAGATCTGTTAGAAGCAGTCACTGCATGAACAATTTGTATTTTGAAGAAGTTTGTACTTTTGCTTTATTAACCTTTCTTGCTTCTAGAGATGACTTAGTCACAGCACAGCAGAAATCATTTGCATGCAGCTTTCTCATTGCAGCATTCAGCTTATCAGAGTCCTTTATATCAATAAAAAGATTGTATATCTGCTGTCTCAACCTTTCTTGCTGCTACAGGAGTCTTTGAACATCAGTTTAGTCTTGTCTTGCCAACCATTTGCTGCAAATAAGCTCAGACTTGCTGAGTCTCAAATTATAGTAAATTTATTTTAAAATTTTATTTTATAACTATTATTTACCATCCTTGGAAGCTGTTGTCAAGAGAGAGGAGGTGGCTGTCGATTTTTCCCAAGTATCGCTATAAAGTGGAGACACTTCCTAAAATAATCATTAATTGGACCCCTGAAATTCTAATTCAGTGAAATTTTAATTCACCTTTACACTAGTTTCACTGCACTGTCTCCCTGTGACTGTGATGCTGACAATGATGAATCATGTCCAACTGTCATGCAGAAGTGCTCCATAAACCACAATAATTGGATTAATAATTACCTCAATTACTAGTACTTGATGCTAATGTGGTAGAGCACTTTCTATCGCATCACAGTGTTGTTATACATTACTACCATTAACACACATTCAGAATTAACTTACAAGTGACGGTGAACATGAAGGAGCAAGCTAAAAAATAAAAGACTAATATCATGACAAGAAAAATAAATATTACCTCTGTCAATGTTTGACTAACAGTGTTTTCTTGCTGTCCTTGCTCTTGACAACTTGGTTGGTCAGGTGTTGGGGTCATTACCAATTGCCCATCATTCGGACATTTGGTAAATCACTGTCAGAGACCACTACCGAAGGTTACCTTAGGTTGGGATATAGAAGTAGAGCCATGAATAGTATTCATGCTAGAGCAAACAAACCTGCAGTCACCAATGAAAATTGCCTATCTTATACTCTACATTTTTTACAACCTCCAAGAATTGACCCCCTCTAGACAAGCACAAAATATATATTTAGCTTATAAACTATTAAACAAAACAATTATTGTATTTATAGAATGCAATGAATGTTTATAATGTGGATTACATTTTCTAGTTTACAATACACATTCACTAATAAACAGAAAAAAACTAAACATCTCTACACATTTATGAATATGGTTAATTATTATTATAATTAATTGAATCAATTAGTTAAGTGATGCTTTTATTGAGACATCAATAGCAATGTTGTCATTGTTCATGCTAGCCTCTGCACTTCTGGTAGATGCTATCTTTGATAAAGTTGCTATTATTATAATTAAATAATAAATTTTATAAAATTCCCTTACATGTTGCATAGCAAAGATTGATAAAAACATAAAATTCATGCATCATCATAATTACATTGATAAATAATACCTATTTCTTTAGATGATCTAGAGGGAGATTTAAATAATTATTAATACAGAGCCAAACCCCACAATACATGTACAATAAAAATGCTAAATCAGTACATATCAAACACAAACATATCAATACAAATCTCTCCTAGTCATTTTTGGTGAAATTTGGCTAAAGTACAGGGACTTTTGCCCAATTTTGGAGCAACCTTAAAAATTCTTTATAAATCCAATTTTGACTGGGATCAGCTCAAACTTGAAATACAACATAAGAACATCTATATGTATCAGGAAAAATTATAAAAATGTAAAATCTCTCCTAGTCATTTTAATAAAATTTATTGCTTTGTGGTGCCGTATAGCGGGTAATTTTAGAGGGGCTAAAATTTGGCAAATTGCTAAATTTTGGTGACTGGCGAATTTTTAATTTGGCAAATTTGTGGCCACATGCTACGTATCATCACTTGGATCATGGCTCATCATACAGGTTACAGAGAAGTTCATTGCAGTATGATTACTATCAAATGACCTTCCATCACTCAGTAATGGATACACAAATACATTAAAGGTCCCTGTACTATAATAGTACAGGGACTTTCGGAGCAACTTAAAAAATTCGTAAAAAATCTAATTTTAATTGGAATCAGCTCAAACTTGAAATACAATATAAAAACATGTATATGCATCAGGAAAAATTATAAAAATCAAGAAATCTCTCCTAGTCATTTTTGGTGAAATTTGGCTGATGACCCTTACTATAGTACAGGAACTTTGGCCTGATTTTGGAGCAACTTAAAAAATTTGTAAAAAATTCTAATTTTGATTGGAATCAGCTAAAACTTGAAATACAATATAACAAGTGTAACAGTGTAAAAATATTCCTATAATTGTTTTCACCACCTTGCAAGTACAGCTGGATTTTTAATAAGACTTATGAAGGTTCTCTCTACCTTCTAATGCTTCCAGAAAAGACTTTAGACAGTATCTCTATGTTCTTTCCCTGTTAGAAAGCTCATAACTTTGACCCATGTTCAAACCACCATTTTGTTTGCCGTGACCACACCCACTTACGTAGCGTGGGCGGGTAGTTGCTAAGGCTTGTTATTTCTCCAATACAACGTGTATAGTAGAAATGTAAGTGTTGACATACAAATAATATATTATATCGCACGTGGGTGAAATCAATTATAGGACGACCTGGGGGCTACGCCCCCAGGTCGTAAAAACATGTGTATGTATCAGAAAAAATTATAAAAATCAAGAAATCTTTTCTAGTCATTTTTGATAAAATTCATTGCTTTGTGTTAACTTACCAGGTACATTTCTTTTCTTAGTAGTAGGCGTATCATCACTTGGATCATGACTCATCGTACAAATTACTGAGAAGTTCATTGCAGTATGATTACTATCAAATGACCTTCCATCACTCAGTAATGGA